ATGGTTCTGGAACAGAGAGGGAAAATTTAAAGATATTTAAGGCTTGTGTTTTTTAGGTAAGTTATTTGTCTGTTAGTTCTAGCAATCGCTACTCTGTGAAATGGGTTTTTTAAAACTTGCTCCCAATATCATTTAGTAATGATACTTATGAACTCAAAGAGAACAGAGACACTTGTTTGAACTGGATTATTATTATAACTATTTATTAAGTTTATATGCCTCCCATCCAGTGGTGGGCTGCTGGTTTGGGAGAACCGGTAGTTCCGATGATCAGCTGGCCCCGCCCACCCACCTGCCCCCTCTGTATCCTGTTCTATATTTCCTTTCTGGCTCAGCTGATTCGCGCAGCACAGCTGATTTCTGCGCCGCCGCTGTTCTACTTACCAGGGCTGCCTTAGAAGGTAAGCAGCTGAGCTTCAAATTGCTGTATTTTGAACACTGTGCGCAAGCGCATTAGCGTGAAGCGCACATTACAGAACCAGTTGTTAAACTGTTTGCAGCCCACCACTGCTCCCGTCTCACTGTTGCAATGAACTATGTAAGTAGAAGAAGAGTGTATGGGTGGCATTTGCCGATTTGAAGCAAAAGGTATGTTAGGAAGCATAGAGTTGTAAAAACAGAAGGTTTTGAACATTCAGCATTTTCATTTATTGGAGTGTGAAATATTCAATTCTATACCATTAAAAATGCATTCTTCTGGGAGAGCAACTTAGAGAAACCCGCATAAATTTAGGTAACTCTTGCGAGATATTACTTCTATTTAAACTCTCCATTTAAAGCATTGTGATTGGAGATCTCCTGTTAGGATAAGTAGAAGCTAGAGCAGGAGTGTCAAACTTGTGTCGTCATGTCGTTGTCACGTGATGTATTGTAACACCCCCTCCCTTCACTAAACACGGCATGGGCATGGCCAGCGCGTGATGCATCCAGCCCACGGACTGCAAGTTTGACACCCCTGAGCTAGAGCCTCTGTTACACACCTGCAGTTTTTTCTCTCCCTGGCAGTTTCCTTACATGAAAAAATTAGGAAGAATAATACCATTTTCTTTCCAAAATGAAAAGAACCCTTTATGTCTTTGAACTGCTGAAGAGAGTTGACTAGTTTTGTAACTTCTGTTTGGTTCAAGCACCCAGTATATCTGTCTGAATCATTTAGATTTTTATTAAATACTAGCTGATAACCCGGCATTGCCCGGGTATTTATTTATCCCAACGCTGTATTAGACAGGAAGAGCAACTTCACCCTGAGCCCTGATTTTGGTGAGAATTAAATTAGTTAAAAAATGTTTTCCCTGTGCCCCCAGAAGCATCAAGTAAAATGATACCACCTTGTTGTTTTGCTAGCTGATCCATGATCATTTGGTATGCTTTTTTCTGATTTTGGTAAATTGTGGATATGGTTGCTTAGGTATATGTAAAACAGGAGCTTGTAGCCTATGAATTATAGCATCAAACTGTTGGACTTGATGTGGGTGGTGACTATAACAACACTTGGATGTGGAAAAAGGTTTTTTCTTGAATAACTGATGTAGACATGTGAAGTACTTTTATCTGTCATACTGGGTTATGCCTTGAAAATGTTGAATGCTTCTTTGGAATAATTGGTGTTAATAATTTATAATTAATAGAGTTGGAGGGGAGTTTCATCTTCAAACCTAGATTTTAATAACTACAGAGTTTCTATTTTGCTTGAGCCTAGTATGCATATTACATATTAAAAATATTTTGGAAATGAAGTTGTATATTAATAATGTAATTGGTAGTCAAAGCCATGAGTTCACAGAATGTGTAATGAACATACTTGTTTAGTAATATACACACTCATCAGATAAAAAGATGTGGCATCCAACAGCTGGGCTCACTATTAAAATCCTTAGGGTAGTCCTACACCAGCGTTTTTGTGCTTTTAAAATTTGAAAGAAGTAGATGAATGAGTTATTTGCACTTTCAAAATAAATACAAGTCCTCCTCGTTCAATGCCATTCATAACTTTGAACGGTCACTAAACAAGGTTGTAACCCAGTGTTGAAATCCAATTTTTTTTACTACGGTTCTGTGGGCGTGGCTTGCGCATGGTGTGGCTTGGTGAGCGTGGCAGGGGAAAGGATACTGCAAAATCCCCATTCCCTCCCCACTCTGGGGCCAGCCAGAGGTGGTATTTGCCGGTTCTCCAGAATCTTTCAGAACCTGCTGGATTTCACTTCTGTTGTAACCCAAGGACCACTTGTAGCAATTTCAGCAACATAGGAATGGAAACAGATAAATATTTTCTACTCCCACACTTGACCTCTCAGCAAAATCTCAAAACAAGTCCCAAACTGACCCTCTCCTCCAATAAATATTGGTGATCTTGCTGCTGAAAATCATAATATAATATTAAGACATTTTTTTTCCTTTGGACTCCAAATATCCAGAAGAGAATGGAAGATATTCTGTGGGTATTACAATGCAATATATTGAGAAAAATGGGAGGCGGAGGAGGTGGAGGAGGAGCGGGAATCTAAAGATATTATGGAGAATCTGGAATACCTAGTAATACCATTACTTATGCGTTCCCTTTTGTAATAGAAAAATCTATGCATTAAATTTAACAGAATAACAGAGTTGGAATGGAGGTCTTCTAGTCCAACCTCCTGCTCAGGCAGGAAACTATACAATTTCAGACAAATTCTTGTGCAGTCTCTTCTTAAAAACCTCCAGTTTTAGAGCACTCACAACTTCTTGTTTCGCTGATTAATTGTTCTGTCAGAAAATTTCTCCTTAGTTCTAGGTTGATATTCTCCTTGTTAGGTTTCTATCCATTGCTTCTTGTCCTGCCTTTATGTAAGAATTAGAACTTGCTTCCAATTCTACATGGGCAAACAACACTATTTGCAGTTTTCCTCTCAAGACATGATAAAAGAAATAAAGGAAAGCGTACATAATAGTCATCCTTGCTGTTTTAAGATGTTTCATGCATCACAACTGATTTGAGCATATTGTCACAATTAGAATAGGAGATGATATGACATTGGGCCCCACACAACCCAGCCCTTTTTTTCCTTTTCAGTCCAGTGGAATATTGGCAAGAAGTGATATAAAGAAGGCTAGATATGGCTAAGAGAGCCATTTTGTTCAGTAGCTAAGAAAATGGGAGACTGAGTTCTAGTTATACCTTAGGCACAAAGTTAGCTGGATGACCCTGGACCAGTCTCTCTCACACACTCAGCCCTAGGAACCAGGTAATGGCAAATCATTTCTAAAATCTTTGCAAAGAAAACTAGGAACATGCTTAAGCAATTGCCAAGAATCAAGACTGTCTCAAAGCATACAAACACACACTGCCAGGATATGACTAGGGTCTATAGAAGAAACAAAAATCCAGAAAATATTCCTTGTGAACCCTAATGATAGAAGAATTGGGCAGTGGGTCATGTGACACAGCTCATAAACAACCTTTTCTGTGCTTCCTCTTTCACAGGATAAAAAAACGAGCATCCTGTGGCCACCATTGTTAATGGGGATGGAAAGAATTCTAGGAATTCTTTATATGCTTTCCCTACTTCCTTTACACTACAAGATCATTGGCAAAGAGCCAAAATCTTCAAAATGAACCCCTCTGGAATGATTTTCTATAGGAATTTTTAAAGTATTTTTTTTTAAACTAAGATTTTGATAGATGAATGTTGCCTATTTTGAATACTGTCAACCTTGTCTAATGTGTTTCAAATTGTTTGAATTTTTACATAGGGTTTTATTACTCTTCAAAATTAGGCTGCTGTGTTATTTCTCTGAACTATTTTCTGTGATTATGCACCAAGTATTATAGTTTAAAAAAATCCTTTCCTGACCTGGTGTCTTCCAAATGTGTTTTAAGATAAGCCCCAAAATTTCTACATAGTACACATTCTTTGCTTTTGAAATTGTTCAAATTGAAGGAAGAATGTCAGGTCAGGAAATCCTTGTTAAATTAGTAGTGAGAACTGGTTTGAAAACATTTATGGTATTTTTCCATGGCAATGATCAAACTGCCCGGTCCCTGAATCGGTAGAATGTGAACTATAAATGGGCCTATTGCTTTCATCACTTGAAATATGTCTGTTTAAATACTTCAATGTCTGTTAATAATATCTGAGTAACAGAGCAGGAAAATTGCTTATTTGACAAGAGGTTCTGCACAACTATAATAAAACAGTAGTAAGATAAGTAGCATTCGTAAAATGAATTGCTAAAATTTTCTGGATGAGACAAGGAACCTAACCAGTTCTCTGTATGTATAAAACACATATTCAAAAATTAATTAATGATACAGAATTGCAACATCTCCAGGATCATTTTAAATAAGCTTCTGTACCATATTTCATTAGAGAAACCATTTTTTTAAAAAAAGAAATCTGCCAAATGTGGTCAGTTTGAAAGTACAATAGATTGAATAATCTGTAACTTTTGTTGAAATATTCTTTTTTTTTTGATTCAGCAAAACCATAGATTAAAAAGGATTTCTATATATTTTGAATACATTAAAACAAGACACAAGCACACAACATTTATATACATATCACTTTTTCCTACAGCTATTTCGAAGTAATCCTAAATAAAAAACTTTTTTAAAAAAGGATTTCTATATAAAGAGAGCAATATTGTATTTAATTATGTAGTAATCTAGTTCAGAGTTCCCCAGTATTTCCAGCTTTGCGGACTGGGGAGGATAAGAGGGGATGGTTCGTGTGAGTGGCTGACAAACTCATGTGTGCGTGCGCAGCTCCATTGGAGCGAGCAGTGTGCATGCATGCCTGCCGCTGTTTGTACACGTGAGAATGCACATGTACATTTCATAGCTCAGTTGCAGTCCCCTCACGGCCCACAGATTGGGGACTCCTGATCTAGTTTGTCTTAATGTTATCCTGAGGTACTTCAGCGTGTAGTTCATGAAGTAGCATTTCCCAAAGTAAATAATTTTTTATATAAATTACATAGAGATAAGTGATTCTTATTAAAAACGTTCGCTAGGTGCTCTAGCCCAGTGAATAAAAATGAGCATTTAATTGCATTTAAGGTCTAGTATAAAACTTTTCAGTATTTTATATTTGTAAGACAATAAAGTGCACACAAGAAAGCTTACATTATACTCTTGTAAAAGCACATTTCTTCATGTTTCTTCCAATTCTGTAGCCACTTTTGTATTGACAGTCAAAAATGTGGGTCTTTTTCTCTTTTTGGCCCAACATGAATTCTACAGTCCTCTTTTATTATATTTGATAATGTTGAACATATCCTTTCCGAATCAGTGGTCACATCTCAAAATTATGGCAAGATGGGTGGGAAGATGCATATAATTGCTTCTTTATATGCTAGGCATCTAAATAATTTGTAATGTTGAAATTATTTATGGAAAACATTTGCTTGGTTTTTAATGAGTAAGTTACATTTTGTATAAACCTCATGCATCATATAATATCAGTGAAAAGTGTCAAGGGATGGGGGTTGATCAAGTTAAATTATTTTGCTGCTGCTTCAATAACATGAGTATTGTCATCCAACAGCATGAAATAAATTATTCAGAGTTAAATGCATTATAGTTAGATCATATATTGTGTGTGTGGGCAGATGGGAAAAGTTCAAGTGGTCTATTACTGTGATTCTACTTCATATTTCAAAATATGTGAGTAAAATTTGTGGTTTGCATTCTCCAACACTGTCACATATATTTCTCTGCAGCCAGAAGTACTGCAGGATCCCTCCCAGTAGCCATCCTTACTAAGAGACAAGGGGCAAAGTTTTTCACATTGAACAAATGCTTTGGCAATGCTGTGAAGTTTAAGTTTGAACTTAATGTTGCAGTTGGCTGGTAGAAATGCAGCCAGAGGTTCCACTAATTCATAGCTTTCTGCCCAGTTACTATAATTCTGGGGGAACATTGGCCATTTGACCTTAGTGTTTGGACAACAGATGAGGTAATTAAAGATATAGTTATAGTTACCAGGATCAGACTTTTTCTTAGCAAAAATTTGGAAAGCAAAATTCCCAGCATGTGGAAGATGGATCTTAAAGTTTATTTGGTTTCCTTGTTGTTGTTGTAAGATATGTCGTCTTCCTTCATCTTCACTGAAGCTTACGCTGTCTGAATGCAATGACGCTAAAATGTTCAAGTCTTTACTGAGGATGAAACTGAGGTTACAGCAGCCATCATTAGTATGAATAACTGGACCTTTTTGTGAAGGTCTGAGGATCCCCTGTTTCTTTGTGAACCAGTTGGGCCCAACTGGTTGATGGAGTTCCTTTGGGAAACAAACATTCCTGTCTATAGAATTGCACTCAACGTTGTATTCTAGAATGCATGTGTACATTTCTTCAGGGCCTTTAGGTGGTTTGGCATAGATTTGGAGTTTATGACTCCCCATCTTCTGTGGGTACAGTTCCAGATGCATCCCATTCCTCTTCAAAGTCATCAGGCTGTATTCTTTTGCCCTTTTCAGTTCAGACATGAACAGCATTGGAGAACGGCTCTCCACTACTATTGTGACTTTTCCATTTACTGTAACATGCAAATAAAGAAAGCTGGTTAGAATATGTCATATTATTGAGAAAAGCAAATCAATCAAAAAGCTTGTAGAAAGTGATCTTAACTCAGCTTTGCTGTCAGTCACTTTGGCAATGAAAAGGAGTATATTGCAGTTGAATATTGTGGTTAGAAATTGTTCAAAACCTTCTGTCATATCCAAATTCAGAATAAAACAGCAACAGGATTGAAGGTAGGGAGATTTCAGTTTGTTTTTATTTTATTGCTAGCGTAATAGAACTGCTCATCATTCTGAGGCAAGATAAAAGCATATATGGCTTTTTTACTTATAGTTAATCTGCCTACCCTTTCACTGTTGGATTTCAAAGAAAGTTAAGATTTCCAAAGATGGAATTCTAAAATAAAAATGTTTGTTTAGTTCAGGCATGTCAAACATGCGGCCTATGCAGACCAAGCCCACCCCAGCCCCGCATAGGCAAAATAAATAAATAAATTCAGATACATCACGATATGGTCTGCAGTATGATCAGGTTTGACACCCCTGGTCAAGTTGCTAAGGGACACTGAAGGGATAGCTGAAAACATCAGAAAACCTATGAACTAATATTTATTTATGTTTATTTATACAGCAGGCTTATTAACCTGCACCTATAAGTTCTTTGTATTCTTAACCTTTCTTTTTTTATGTTTTCTTTTGAAATTGAAATATACAAAAAATTCTAAGGACCCTTTCAGACTAATTATGTAGTGGCCTTTTGAACTTGGCATAAATTATACTTGGCATAAGTGCAAAAGTGAGTAGACTGTAGAAATTTGAGATTCATAGGTTAGTTCTACCAAGCTAATCTTTTAAAATTAATTAAAATCACACTCAGTTTTAAATTTTGTTGTAATTTTTTTCTTCCAAAGGCTGGAAATGTTATATCTAATAATAATACTGGTATGGGGCAAGAAGCTGTATGATTGTACCTGTCTGTATAATAGATGTTTCTGGATGGGCCACCAGCAATCCCATCATGTAAAAGTCACTTTTGTAGAGCAGGTTATTTTCAAACTGTTTTAATGCCACAGTTGGTTTGAGTAGCTGCCAGTTGTTGTTGTCTGGGAAATGATTATTAATAAAGAGTGCAGGGTGCGTGAGGAAATAAAATTCACTGTATCTAGAATAAAAAGAGAGGGGTCATAATGTTATTGTAATGTACGTAATTACTCCCTGCCCTCACCCCATCCTCACCCCCAGCAGCATACCAGAACCAGAGACATGCACCTGAAGGTAAACTTGCTGCAACATTCATCAATTGAGCCGCTGCCCCAAGTGCTGTCCACCAAATGCCACTTTCCATCAAGGTAAACTGCATTCCAGGCATGGGTATACTCTCCTTCAAAGGTCTGTCCTGTTTTGTAGCCATAGCCTTTAGAATAACCAGATAAATTCATGCAGTGTACCCCTGCAATTCTGAGGGAAGATAAGAAAGAGTTCCCAGGAACTAAAGATGTGTATCTTGGAAAAATGTCATTCTTTTACAATCATTGTTAATTTCCATGCAACATTCCAAGAAGATGGTTCCTTTCTTGCATTATTGTTGTTACAATAATGCATGTTGTTAGTGTGGTAGGTAGAATGTTGCTGCAGGGAGATACGTTTACTGTATTAAAAAGTTTGGCACTGTTTTGTGATCATTCAATTGCTCCTAAAGGTTTGCATATGTGAAAATTAATGCTTGACATCAAGTTGTGTTTGTTTCTTTTTTGTTTTGGTTTTAAGAAAAAAAAAGTCCAAGAATCTGTTAAAGGCTCTGGTGGAAAATGATCTAGTTACTTTACATATTCCGGATCCCGGATCTGCGTTCCTTCCGCCGTGGTGTGAAGACCTTTTTATTCCATCAAGCGGGCTTGGCCTGATCTCTTCCCTTTTTAAAATATGTAAATTTTAATCTGTTTTTAAATTATTGGGGTATTTTAATTTGTCTGGGCCAAAAAGTTTAATTTGATTTTATCGGGTTTTTAAATTTTATGTATTTATGTATTTTATTGTTGGCTGTTCACCGCCCTGAGTCCTTCGGGAGTAGGGCGGTATACAAATCAAATAAAACCTAAACCTAAACCTAAACATATTGATCACCTAATATCTTATGAACCTTTTCCATTGTAACAATTTTCTACATAGTAAAACAATTCAAGTGCAGCATGCAAAGATGCACTTCACATTTTTTAAAATAAACACAATATATTTAATTTGACATGCCACATCCTGGTTAGGTCATTATAATGTGCTTTCCCTGAAGCTATCTTTGCAAGTATTATGGATGCTACAGCTGAAGCAGAATATGGCTGCTAGGTTTCTGGTGTATCTGATCTATCCATTCAAAGCTGGTTCCTGTCATAGTCTGCAGAGACAGAATGATTTGAAGAAAGCCAAAGGTGTGTAAACTCACCAAAAAAAAACCAAACACCACAAACCTAAATCAAAGGGGGAACAAAAATCTCCAACAATCCCACACTGGATTGTGTATGTTCTGTGTTCAGGAAATACTGACTGATTAATGGAGGAGCAAGGTGGAAAGCCAAAGAATGACACAGTCTGAAAGGATCCAATGTGTAGAATTGACCTAACCTAAATTTTTGTCTTTTTACTGTTTTCATCTGTAAGAAACCAGGGTTTACCAAAAGATGGGAATAGTTCCCTCAGCCCTTAACAAAGCCAGGAGCTTGCGCAGTGTGATGATAGATGAAATTAAATTTGCCGCAACATAGATTGAAAGAAACAATTGGAATTGATTGCGGACAGATACAATCACTGCAGACAGTTCAGTAAAAGCATCTGCTCAATGCACGGAGATGATTAAAAGCAAATAAGAAGTTAGCCTGTGTTTCAAAGGGGAATAGAAAATAACCTGGAAAAAGCTACAAATTACAATGATATTACCTGAATGGCATGACCTTCCCTTCAATACTGTAGACAGTTTTGGTTACTTCAGCTGAATAAAAGAAATTGAGAACAACAAAAAAAGAGAGAACAAAACTACAAAGGCCTGTGGAAAGTGCAGGAGGGATAGATTTCAGGCAAGGAGATAAATGAGACAATTGGCAGTGATAAACCATGTAGCTGGAGACGAGATAAGTGTGCATAATCAATGAAAGAAGCAAATGGTCACTGTTGGTTGGCTGGATGGCTGGTTCTTTCCTATAATATCTCCTTTTGGGTCACTGCTAAAGTCATAACTGATTTAGGATTAAATTGCTGAGATACAAACATTTTTGCCCATTCCCACTTTCCTTTGCCAAGCTGGTAGTTTGTTTGCCAGTTAGAATTGCCCTTAGTCAATTAACTTCGCTGTAGCAAATTGTAGAATTGCCAATCTAGACAGCTGTCTGAGTCAGCAAAGTTCTGGAATTTGGGGGCATCTTCTGTTTGAAATGGCAAACAGGCAGTTGAACATTTTTTGAAAAACAAAACAAAACCAGTATTATAATGAGCTAGAGAAGGAAATTTATAATATTTACGTCAACAATAGAAGTTGATGGTGCCTTGTAAAACCTGTATTTTTCCACAGCTATTTTTTGCATTACCAATTACTGGAACAAGGCAGTAAATTGCTTTCTAGGGCTTGGGCTCAGATTCTTCAGAAAATTTATTATACTCCCTGACTGTTCTTTGTCTCCCAACTGTTGTCTTGCAGGCCTGCCAAATCAGGCAGCTGTTTCAGCAAAGATCCTACCATCACAATGTCAATGTTCTTGGACTTCATTCAGCATTTAAGCTAAAATCTATGAGAGTTTTAAACACCAGGAAATGTAATAGATAATCAAAATCTTAGGGAAAAAAGTTTATGCTCATGTCTGGACATTAAACATTCTTCACCTAAATTCTACTAAATCGGACAAGTTATGCTTTCCATTGACTGTTATATAATGAATGGCCAAAATAAGAGAGATTTGTTTGTGTTCTCCAAATTTGCTCCATAATCAATTATAGTTACAATTGTAGACCATGGTTACAATTAAGCATGATACTGTTGTCAGTACTCTATAGCCATTATGGGTTATGTTCTGCAATGATCCCAATTAGAATCCTGCTGACCTAACAAATGTTGTAGTATCCAAGATCAAGTAGGAAGCAAGCAATGCTCTCCTTCTCCACATGCCTGCCTTATTTGAGATGGGTGGCACTACTTTGACATGCAGAAGGAATAAAGTTTCAAGTGCCATTTGTTAAAGTTTGGTATGGTAAAAAATGTTGAGCACCTCTATTTCACCTTTTTTAATTTAAGGGGAAAGTTCAGAGGTGGTATTCAGCAGGTTCTGACCAGTTCTGGAGAACCGATAGTGGAAATTTTGAGTAGTTCGGAGAACCAGTAGTAAAAATTCTGACTGGCCCTGCCCCCATCTATTCTCTGCCTCATAAGTCCCAGCTGATCAGGAGGAAATGGGGATTTTGCAGTAACCTTCCCCTGGAGTGGGGTGAGAATAGAGATTTTACAGTATCCTTCCCCTGCCACACCCACCAAGCCATGCCCACAGAACCGGTAGTAAAAATTTTTGAATTCCACTGGGAAAGTTCCATTTAACAAACAATTTTATTTCTCGTGAAAAGGTTATTAATGCATTGCTAAATATGTTGCATAAGAAGTAGACATGCAAGTGCAACCTGTTGAAAATATATCATTGTCCTTAATGGTTTTTCTAAATTTATTTGTTCCCAAATATGCCCCTGCTTTGGAGATTTTTAAGTATGTATTTAATTTAATTTAATTTAATTTAATTTAATTATTTAATTTAATTTAATTTATTGGCTGCCCATCTTACCAACAAGGTAACTGAGCGGCTTATAATCATAAATTTTTGTGTGTGTGTGCGTATACACACACACACACACACACACACACACACACACACACATGGAGAGCTTTTGCTTGATCTGACTGCACATGAATGTGGTAAAATATGAATATAGATCTATTTAGTTAACACACTGCTACAGTCAAACATGCCTGTAAATTTTAACACCTCAACATGTGTCTTCAATCACATTTTGTTTTAAGTAGTTGTTTAACTTCCAGGTAATTTGGTTTTATCAAGGGTTCGTTTACTCAGTTGATCAAAATGGTTTTTAAATGAGCTCTCATAATTTGTTTCCTAATACCAGATATTTTGCCTTGATGAGATATTTTTGTAAATATATTTCCAGACTTTGGATGTCAATTATTAATTATATGTTTATTTCTAATGAATAAAGACTGTTGGAAGAAAGCCTTGTTCAATATTAAACTAAAAATCTGATGACAGTACAGAAATACAGAGCTTCAAGTTAATTTCCAGTTATGTCTAACTTCAAAATAGGTGAGCTCCCATCAATTAGATTTTATAAAATAAAATTATTAGAAAACTCCTACATATTGATAGATTGGTCTCTTTGTTAACACACTAACTTGCACACCCTAATTCTACCCTTCTGCCTTACATATAAAATGGATAGTGGATGTGGATTCACAATTCTTTTCTTGCAGGCAACCCTGTTCCATAGCCTTCAGACTTTTTTTTTTGACCTTCAAATATTGAGAAAAACACAGTACCTCTTCTAACTAAATTATCCCCATGTTCACATCTGCCGTTATGTTAATACAATGTGAGTTTCAGCAGATGGTGCAAAATAAATTATATTGGGAAGAACGATAAGCAAAATTATCCTTTTTAGAACTTCTAGCCATTGAACAACATAGGTTCAAAATGATATTTCAGATTCCTACTATGTGTAAATGGAGATGGAATAGATACATAGGCAATTAAGCAACTTAATATGGCCAAACATTTCGGAACTTGATGTACCTGCACATTTGTTCAAAGAGGCGAGCATATCCCTCACAAATGCTTTTTCCACTCTGCAGGACATCTTGGGGATTGAAAGACTGATTCTCTTTATCGAAGAAACCTACAACATCATATTCTGGAGGAACAATGGAACAAGTAATACATAAAACAAGCAATGTGAAGTTATAAAAGTTTCTGTACTCTAGAGCTACTACTAGTACTTGTTCCAAGGTAGATCATGTAGACCTACCTTAAACAGCAAGTGGATAAAAAGCTAAAATGTACAAGATTAATTACCAGTTTTTCAACCTTACTATAATAAATGATACCTTTAATCCTGGTAAAATACGTTTTATTTAAGTTTCCAGCTGAGCTTAGTCTACACATATGCTTTTTGTATGCATTTCTCCTAAGATTTTTTTACACATATTTTTTCATAACTCATTGTTCCAAATATTTTCCTGAAAAAAATAGTTTGTCAGTTTTGCAAAACAGATATAGCAGCTGAGAGAAGGAAGTCGGGATATCCAAGAAAAGCAATATTTTTATATATGTTTCCTGATGATAGGCAATTCTTGAAAAAGTATTTGAAATTAGATATTTCCTGTGAATGATAATAGCTATATTTTTCCCCAGAAGGGAGATTTTCTAGATCAATGGTTTGCAACATGAGCCATATGACTTCTCCCTTCCAGGATCATGCCACATTTATAGGGGGCCACAGTAAGTTTGTGAGAGGCCCACTCAACTACTAGGCATGTGATCAAATTATCTTATTTCTCTCGTTATGTATGCTAATTTCAGCAGCATAAATAATTACAATACAGTTTACAATAAATATCAACTTAACAGTAACTATGAGGGAGCCTCTGAGAAAGCAGGCTGCTTAGAAAAATTGCAGGCACCTGTGTTGCCTTCCTCCCTTTCTATTTGAACCTTCTCCCCAGCGGCAGTACGACAAATCACAATTGGGGCCAGAATTTCTGTTACTAAACAAGGTTATGGTTAAGTGAGTTGTGCTTGGTTTTTTGTCAGAATTGTTAAGTGTATCACTGCAGTTATTAAGTGAATCACATGGCCATTAAGCAAATCTGGCTTCCCCCATTGACTTTGCTTGTTGGAAGCTGGCTGGGAAGGTTGCAAATGGCACACATGTAAGCCTGGGATGCTGCAACCATTGGAAATGCATGCCAGTTGTTAAGTGCCTGAATTTCGATCATATGACCATGGGGATACTGCAGTTGTTGTAAGTGTGATCACCAGTCATAAGTCACTTTTTTTCAGTGCTCTTGTAATTCCAAATAGTTGCTAAACAAATGGTTGTAAGTCAAAGACTACTGTATAGGATAAGATAGAGGCAGGAAGCACTCATATTTGTGTGTTTCAATTATATATCTTGCATTTTATCCCAAAATACAACAGCTCCCCAAAACTTACAGACATATATAAATAACCAGCAGTCCTGGTTCCAGTGCTCTTTAGACCTTTGGAGTATAGGTCAATCGAATTCGGTGTAGTTTAAAAAAGAACCCAAGACAATCAGAGATACATGGGTCTCAAAAGGAGGGCATGAGCAAAAAAGGGTTGAGAACCTTGTTCTAGACTATACTAGGTTCCCCTCAGTCATATATTCTCATTCTAGACTGTCAGAACAGAACAGCAGGCATAAATACAAGGCAAACAATGAGCCTTACCCACACATTTCATAGAAAGAGACTGCTTACCTATGTGGTGGCATATCCATATCCAAATGGCCCTAACTTTCTCCAGGTCAGTATGTGCTACAAGGAGCAAGTTTTGCACTAATTCTTCCACACTGCTTTTGGCATTCACCTGTAATTTGAGGATGTTAGATAGTAAGGTATTGTCTTAATTTGAAACCAACAGTCACTCGGCTTTTCTTCCCTAATGCTCAGTTCAGAAAGTCCATGCATCTCTATTTGTCAGGTCCATGCCCAGAAAGAAGACAATAAGATCCAATTGAGTTCAATCCTTTATTTTCTAGACCTTTTTTTGGGAAACAGTTTGCAAAATACTTCCCCTCTGCTGCTGCAGATACACATTTGATCACACAATTGATTTCCTTCTGTCAAAGAAAACACAGAAGTTCATAGTTTGGTTTAGGTTTAGGATAATTTTAGGTGTGATTGGAGGGGGAGGACAAGCTTATATATTTGTACAAGATCCTAATTAAACATCGAAGCATAAGATAGAGCAGGGTTTCCCTTAGTCTTGCTATACTCTCCTTGACTGCCACCAATGTCTTAAGTTTCAAAGACAGAATTACGTTACTGTTATGTGTGTACAGTTTATTCAGGTGTGAGTAGCTATAACTGATTACAATTCAATTATTTTCTTTCACAATGTATCCTTATTGAAAGCCAGAATTGCTCAGTAGTCAGGCCAAAGCAGAGATTTTATTAATCTGTAATTTTTTCTATTGGCTGATCAAGACTATATTCTAAAATTTTGGAAGCTGCATAATCAGAAGTATCTCATGGATCCAATCTGGGTCAGACAAGCAGAATGGGTACATACAGGGGTGGGTTCTAAATTTTTTACTTCTGGTTCTGTGGGTGTGGCTTATTTTGTGGGCATGGCTTGATCGTCATGTGACAATTCTTTAGGATTTAGCAGAGGTACTGGTGTACCAGGCTTTTACCTGCTTGCAGAGCTGTACCGGTCTACCCATTTGTTTTTGGAGACACCGGTCTACCCATTTATTTTTGCAGGCCTACTCATTTGTTTTTGGAGGCACTGGTCTACCACCACACTGCCTTTTAACACTGATCAGCTGTAGGGTGTCCCTTTGAAGCCCAGTGGCAAGAGTTTAAACAGTTTCTTTTCCTTCTAGCCGATCAGCTGGGACTCAGGAGGCAGCAATAGATTGAGGGTGGGGCCAAATAAAAGGTAAGAAGAATGCAGGGGGGGAGGGGGCAGCAGGGCAGGGGAGCTGGGGGGGGGGGCAGAACCGGTTCAGTGATGTCATATTGTCACTGCTACTGGCTCGGTGGAACCGGGCTGAACCGGGAGGAACCCACCACTGGGTACATTTATTTATTATAATGTACACAATTATTTATTACAAGATGTATGAAGAGGTGGGAAGGTGAGGTGCAAGACGGTGGGAAGAAAAAGGAAGAAACAAGATACAAGATCAACCATATGGTTTTTGCCATACATTAAAAACATTTCAGAAGCTGTAGAACACAACTTCTGAGATCTGAAAGTGGGCATTGCACACCGCCCAGAGGCTACCATATGAGGACAAACTATGTATGTAAAGATCATTTGAAGTTGGGAAATACTTCCAATATAAACTAACAAATCCCCTGCATGGATTGCCCCTGTCTATAGGATTAGACAGGAAGGAAGTTAACCACCAAATTGCAAGAACACAAGTGAGCAGTTAGATAAGGAGACTCAATTTCTGTGGTAGCCTCACACTGCAATAACTTATATTAAATTTTGCAGCTACTAAGATTGTTGGATGAGCAGGCACGAAGGCAGCCAGGGTAGTGATTGAAGCCGGGAAACAGGCCCCTTGTCAGTCAACAGGAATGTTGATTTACCACCTTATCAAGTACTTATCAAGGTGAGGGCAGCACAAGCAAGCAACAGCCAATGACTTAATAACCAGACATCAACACCACAATCAACATTGAAAAAGCTACAAACAGCAGGCACCATATAATACCACACACAGAAAAGCACAAAACAAACTTGAAAGCTCAGAATCTGGTCCTGGTGACCGACCCAGATTGAATCCTGCAACATTATCCTGGGACATGTATATTCATCTTCATTCATGAGAAGTATCTCATTGTTAGGAGTCCTTGGTGCTCTCTGAGCTTGGTTGTTTTCTTGGAGATATTTCATTGTCTGCAAGAATGTCTGTAAGAAAACACACCAAGCTCAGAGAGCACCAAGGACCCCTCATTTCAAACCTGAGCTACAGATATTCTCCTTTATTGGCATCTATCTTGGGCTGTGAATGTATTTGTAATAAATATTTATCAACTTGTATTGAATTACCAATGTGATTTTCTTTGCAAAAGTGGAAATAAATCCTGAGGGTCCCTTTCAAAGTGAGACATCTAAGGAATTTAGAAGAAAACAAAATGTGTTTGATAAGATTTGAGATATTTCTTAAAAAGTTTCTATAGTCTTGCAACTTTAATGATAAAAATGGATGCAAATTTGAAAATTGTTAAGGAGGAAGAACAGAAAAATGTCTAGGGAAAATACCTTAACAAAATGACAGAATATATGACACAAAGGCAAAAAGGTTTAAGTTTGGTCCTGGCATCTTCAGTTAAGAAGTTGGAGAGCAGGGAAATTTCCTATTGTGTACTGCTAACAGATAAGGTTGATATACAGTGTTCTTCAGCTTTCCAGCTTCAAGATAGTAGAAATTGGAGACTTGCTGATGGTCAACACAGTCTACACAAGGATAGATGGGAAAATAGTTTTAGCTTGTTCTAAGACAGTTTCTTGTATTTAGCAATATGATTGGGAAATGGTTGATGTTTTACCTAATTAGATCAGAACTCATATATTTCAAAAATCTCTTTCTTAACATGATCTATGTACAACATGCTGGACTTCAGCTCTTATAAACGCTTTTTGCTCACTTATATAAGAAAAAATCAGCCCATTAAGACAGCATCAGATGTGAATGTTTGTCAGAATCAATGGAATATTTACTCTGTCTGCCTCACACTTCTCAAGCAACTGGACCAGTGGTAGGTTTCAAAAGTTTTTACTACCGGTTCTGTGGGTGTGGCTTAGTGGGCGTGGCATGGCTTGGTGGGTGTGGCTTGGTGGGCATGGCAGGGGAAGGATACTGTAAAATCTCCATTCCCACCCCACTTCAAAGGAAGGATACTGTAAAATCTCCATTCCCTCCCCAATCCATGGGAAGGTTACTGCAAAATCTCCATTTCCTCCCGATCAGTGGGACTTGGGACGCAGAGAATAGATGGGGGCATGGCCAGTCAGAATTTTTACTACCGGTTCTCTGAACTACTCAAAATTTCCACTACTGGTTCTCCAGAACTGGTCAGAACCTGCTGAAACCCACCTCTGAACTGGACACTCAAGGTAGTATGCATATCAGGTAGTTTTTGAGCAGTTTTTCTCAATGAAAATACAACTTTCATTGGGCTACCATTTTGGACTAGAATAAGTTTGCATTTTTCTTCAAGAAGAGGAAAGGGCTTCCTTAACATAATTGTGAAAGAATGAGGTCAGTATACAACAGAAGATACAACAAGGATGCACAAATACAGATACAGTAAAGCTCTCAGATGGATCACTTTTATACTATATTCTGTTCCAGTGGTGGGTTTCAAAATGTTTTACTACTGGTTCTGTGGGTGGGTGTGGCATGGCTTGGTGGGTGTGGCAGGGGAAGGATACTGTAAAATCTCCATTCTGTCCCCAATCCAGGGGAAGATTACTGCAAAATCCCCATTTCCTCCTGATCAGCTGGGACTTGGAAGGCAGAAAATAGATAGGGGCGGGGCCAGTCAGAATTTTTACTACTGGTTCTCCGAACTATTCAAAATTTCTGCTACCGGTTCTCCAGAACTGGTCAGAACCTGCTGAAACCCACCTCTGATTCTGTTCATGTGGAACTTGTCTGAAGCAATAGATTGCAGCCATCAAAACTTAGCAAATTGTACTTTATAATTTGTCATAAGTCTGATGACTGCAGCACCTATTTTCTACAAATCAGATATAATTCCCAGGATCCAAATATTATGAATTTGTGCTGTAGTTCTATTACTTCCATCTTTCTCCAAAACAGTACTTGTGTGTAAATCAACACTATTGTGCAGTTTTTAATTCACTATGTATCTGGATTAGCTATTAGCATCTCTATAACTCTTGACTAACTGTCAAACATGCTAGTAATTTGGACATACAACACAATTACTGAAATAACAATATATTGTAATATAAAGCAGTTAGTCAGCATAACTACATCAGCATAATTTAAAATAGCGAGAAAAACTAAATAACTAGACTCCACATGAATTCCATAATGTTGCTGGAAATAATTAACACCAGAATCTATGCAATGCAGTAAACACTAATATATCTAGGGCCATGGGTTATATCTATTGTAGAAAGGGTGGCAACTCTGTTTGAGGCATGCTGTTATTACTTTCAGAATTTACTTACCTTTTTTGCATATGCATCCAATTTTTCAAATTGCTTCAGGTCCAAAGGCATAGATTTTAAGCATGATTTGTCCCATGGATAAGCTGGAAATAAACATGCAATCAGGAATAATTAGGATGACCGGATGCAGAAGCTCTATCTTCTTCTGCAATTGATCTCCCTAGATTAATTATTCTAGAAAGAACAAGCCAATAACCTAGTAAATCTAATTTAGAACGATAATAAGGGCTTCTATTCTTCAGGGTTGGTTTTTTTAGTTCACTGTACATATTATGTTAACCCAATAAAATGTTATGTAAAATCCTAAATAACACAACTAACAAGTCTTAAAGATGCAGCAGTAATAGCAGAGAATTAGGTACAAATATGACCAAGGAAGGGTATTTGATATGTTTGGGTCAATCTGGCAATAAGAGCAATGAAGCAAATGTATACTGCTTTCTACTTAATACGTATGCAGTTTCTTGTTCAGTGGCCTTGCTTAGGGCAAAGTAGATGAGGTAACTTGCTCCCAAGCTGACATACTTATGAGATTTTGTCTGCAAACAGTATCATTCATATTTATTCAGGTAAGATGTCAGCTAAGCAGAATTGAGTCAGGTGATGGGAGTTATGTCTTACAATGTTAGTACAAAGTCAATATTGCATCAAGTAAGTGCTACTATAGATAGAGACTAGATACAAAAGTATGAAAACACCTACTGCTCAAATTAGATGATCTCTACAACTTTATAAAGAAGAGACAGATTCTACTTTCTTATTTACCTACTACTCTACTTTGTGAGGGGTCTTTGGTGGGGTCCTCTGAGCTTGCTTCTTTTCTCCCAAATGTTTCATTACCCTAACTAGGTAACATCATCAGTGCTAGTAAGGAGTGCTGCTTTCTGTCAGTTTATATTCTGATGTCTTAAGTAGGAATGGTTATAAACATGCATTAGTTGGGCTGTTTACTGATGGCTCTTTGGCAGTTTCTTGATTGGGTTATTGATTATTTAATTGTTGGTCTTATTGTTACTCTACTTTATTTCTGAGTAGCAAGGACTTTTGTTTGATGCATGTGTTCTTCTGACCACTTGGGGCTAAATCACTCTTGCATGGCTGGCACTGTTGCAGAGATGGCTCAACCTGGATTGGATTTGTAAAAACACACATAATCTAATCCAGCAGTTAGGATCCATGCTACCTTTATTTATTTATTTATTATTTATTTATTAGTTCAATTTATATGCCACCCTTCTCCGGAGACTCAGGGCGGCTTACAATGCATTAAGCAATAGCCTTCATGCTTTTGTATATACCTGCTTAGTAGAGCTTTTTGGCCCTGCCCAAGTGGTGTTCTATTTTATACAAAGTCAGCTTATTGCCTCCACAAACTGGGTCCTCATTTTACCTACCTTGAAAGGATGGAAGGCTGAGTCAACCTTGAGCCTGGTGAGAATTGAACTCGCAGTAATTGCAGGCAGCTGGCAACTAAGTGCTACTTTAACAGCAGCAGTTTAGTCTGCTGCGCCACCAGGCTCTTTCAGATAATTTATCTATTTTAGATAATAGCCAGATAATAGCTATCCTGAGAATTATCCAATGTCATGAGTTTTTAATGTTTTTTCCCTGAGATCTTGTGAAATAACTTTAAATTGTCCTAAGATTCCAGTTCTCCCATATGAATTTTAACTATCCCCATAAATTTGGACTGAATGTAAAAATTGGTTATGTGTTGGGGTGGATGAGAGGAAGTTGATCTTTAAGAAAGGTTGTGCATTAGCAAACACTCATTTAAGTTGAATAGTGCCTGGGGGTCATATGCTGTTCCTATATAATGAACTCCAAGTAGCTTGTATTGCTTTAAATAAAATATTAACTATTAATATATTTTGGTAAGTATAACAAAATAATGTAAGTAACAGCAAAAAGCATAGTAATCAAACATTGCAAAGAGAACCATGCCTATCAACAAGCCCCATCCATAGATATAGAATACTTAATATGATGGCTATTTTATGAAGAGTTAGAAAAAAGAGATAGAGAGTAGAAATTGGAAAAATAGTATTATGTATACTGATATATAATAGAATATATTATAATTACAATGTATACACAAATGTTAGAAGTTATAAGATTATGATTATATACATCTAAATATTATTATTATTATTATTATTATTATTATTATTATTATTATTATTGGTTAATCTTTAGTGAGATTCATAGCCTTTGAGGCTGGTTAATAGCTCAGCAGCTCGAGTCCTAACCAAGGACCTAGGAACTGTTAAGGTATCGTCGGAGGATGTAAGCTGTTCCGAGTAAGGTGGTTTTTTGGAGAGTCAAAATGTTCAAGTCCGGCAAATTTAGAATTTCTAAATAGCAGGGTAGCCCTTTGGGTATTGCTCCAAGGGCTCCAATTACAATCGGGACAACACACAATTTCTTTTTCCACAGTCGCTTAACTTCAATTTGTAAGTCCTGGTACTTTGTGATTTTTTCTTGCTTCTTATCTTCAATTCGTGCATCACCAGGTATTGCAATGTCAATGAACCATACTTTTTTCTTTTCAACTATTGTTATGTCAGGTGTGTTGTGGACCAAGTGCCTGTCAGTCTGAATCCTAAAGTCCCACAAGATCTTGAGTTTCTCATTCTCTAAAACTTTCTCAACCTGATGTTCCCAGTGGGTTTTTGCTGTACTCAAATCCAAACTTCTGGCACAATTTCTAGTGAATGATCTTAGCAACACGGTCATGGAGTTGTAGGTAGCCAGTTTGTGAAATTTTGCTGCACCCACTGATCAGGTGGTCAACTGTCTCATCTTTCTCATTGCATAGGCGGCATTTGCTGTTGGTGGTAACATGTTGAATTTTTGCCTTCATGCAGTTTGTGGCTAGGGCTTGTTCTTGAGCTGCCAAAATAAAGCTTTCTGTTTCTTTTTTCAGTACTCCTGATCTTAACCAGTTCCAAGTTAGTTTCTGGTCAGCTTTGCCTTCAATACTTTTCAAGTATTGGCCATGCAGAGCTTTGTGTTTCCAATTTTCAGCTTGCTGCTCAATTACTTCTTTCTTATATTCTGCTTTTGTTTTAATTGTCTTTAAAAGGTCTCCTTTATTTACTTCCTTAATCATTGGTTCTTCACTTTTCTGGATGTAATCATTCAAGCTGCATTTTTCTTCTTCCACAGTCTGCTTTACTTGTAGGAGTCCTCAACCACCCTCTGCTCTTGGTAAATATAATTGGTCAACATTACTTTTAGGGTGCAAGGCATGATTCGTTGTCATAAGCTTCCTTGTTTTTCTGTCCAAATTGTCTAACTCCATCTGGGTCCAGTCAATTATTCCTGCAGAGTATCTAATCACAGGTATAGCCCAGGTATTTATGGATTTTATGATGTTTCCTCCACTCAATTTGGACATTAATATCTTACAAATTGGCCGAATGTACTTCTTCTTCTTCTTCTTCTTCTTCTTCTTCTTCTTCTTCTTCTTCTTCTTATTATTATTATTATTATTATTATTATTATTTCTGTGTAGAAAGTATATTGACCCAGATAACACATTGTGCACTAAGTACTTATGGATGTTATAAAAAACCCAAATAAATAAATAAATAAATAAATAAATAAATACCCCATCCAAATATACCACAAGGTGGGAGTACCCTACTAACACAAAGCCTCTTCCCAGAGCTATCTTAAAAAGCCCAGATTTTATGGTTTTCCTAAAACTTAGCAGGATGAGATCTAGAAGAAATCTATTCCCAAAAAGAGAGCCCCAGGTTCAACTCCTTGGGCTCTGTAAATGGCAGTTTCTAAAAGAAGGGAGCCAGCGTAGGTTTGCCATATTTGATCTCATTAGACAGGCAGAGCCCATGGGGAACAGACAGTCCTACAGAAAACTTGATCCTGAAGTATGTAGAGCTTTCAGCACTTTGGGTTGTTGACAATCACCTGGCAACCACTGCAATTTCAAAGTAAAGATATTCCTTGGGAGAACTTCCATATTCTCAAATATCTTTACTCAGATAATTTAGTCAGAAATTTCCAGGTGACAGCGCTATGTAGAGCAAACTGCAATAATGTATTATTTCAGATTGGAGCTTCCCAGAGTTACACCATTCCATATTTTAAAGTTAGGGAGCAAATTTTCTTCTGTACCTGAGATTACAGGGAAGGACAGGTGCTGCCAGAGAAAGCTATAGTGACTGCAGGAGGATATTTTAGGATTTAACCTCATTTCTAGGCTGCAATGAGTGAAGGCAAAATTTCAAGCAAGAAAGGATGGACCCGTGAGCCGCCTAATGTGCTGAGCAGCCATCTGTCTGTCTCAACCAGCACTCAGCACCAGACATCTGTCTCTTTAATAAGCTTGTTTGTATATATGGCCTTTTACTGAAGAGAGCTATTACAATAACCTAAAGAGAGCTAAAGCAGATTTATGCATTTAAGAGGTCCCTACTCTGCACATCTCTGAAAATTACTTTTTACCATTTGGGAGCATGGTCATTCTTTATTTTATTTATTTTATTTTATTTTATTTTTCAATTTGTATACCGCCCTTCTCCCTGAGGACTCAGGGCGGTGAACAGCCAAATAAAAACATCAAATACAAATATTAAAATACAGTTAAAAAATATATATATAAATTTGGCCCCATTAATTAAAACAATAAACCAAACAATTAAAAACACTTAAAAAGAATTAGGCCAGCCCGGCTTGTTGGAAAAGGAAGGTTTTAAGGGCACGGCGGAAGGCACTGAGGTCATGGATTCTCCTTATCTCAGGGGGCAACTGATTCCAGAGAGTGGGAGCCCCCACAGAGAAGGCCCTCCCCCTGGGGGTCACCAGCCTGCATTGTTTGGCTGATGGCACCCCGAGGAGGCCCTCTCTGTGGGAGTGCACGGGTCGATGGGAGGTCGTCGGTGGCAGCAGGCGGTCTCGGAGATAGCTAGGCCCTATGCCATGGAGCGCTTTAAAGGTGATAACCAACACCTTGAAGCGCACCTGGAAGACCACTGGGAGCCAGTGCAGCTCGCGCAGGAGCGGTGTTACATGGGAGCGCCATGCTGCTCCCGTCACTACCCGCGCTGCTGCGTTCTGG